TTTTTCAGATCTGCAGTCGGAAAGAGTTCTGCTGCTCATTTTAGACTTTATGCCTTTATGCCTGTCGACAAAGCGCTGTTTTTTTAGAAACAGTGTGACAATGCCCAGCCACTGCGGCGCAATTAGGGAAAATATGCTTCTAAAAGACACAAAATCTATCCTTTCGGTTAGAGTGTGTAAAAAGCACTATTGCAAAAGCAACTCCTGTTTGTATATATTCACACTGAAAACCAAAACGCACACAGCGGTTGATAAACACAAATTAAATAATACGTTGCACATCTGTGTTTTAAAGAAGGCATGGGAAGTCAACGCATACTTTTGTTTTAATTATTTTAAATTTTAACTGAAAATTTATGCGAACTAACCGCGCTGTTCTTAGGTGAAAGGTTTTTTGGGATGCAAATATTTGATGAATGGGATATCATAAAGTTTGATCTCTAAGCACTCCACCTCCTTTATGCAGCATTTCTTGAAATAAACGGCGTCTTAAAGTCTGAAACAGCCAACAATGCTCAGTTGTTAGAAACAATGTAACAATGCAACAAGGTTGGGTAGTCGCTTAACTAACCGTAGAAAATTTGCTTATAAAACACACTGCCGTTTCAGCTCGATTATCTGACAATAAAAGTCTTTCTGTAGTGTCAGTGTAAAAAGACAAAGTAATTCCTGTTTGTATAAATTTACCATGAAAAGCCAAAATGCCAACAGCGGCTGATGAACCTAATTAAAACGCACCCCGCTAGGAGAAGACAGAGCGTGCGCAGTGGGACCGCATGGCCCGGAAGTGCCCCTTTTTCGGATGAGTGAACGTGCGTGCATGAGAGTGCATGTGCGCGTGCTCGTACGTGCAAAAGCTGCCCTTTCTGACAGTCACTGATGGGGGTGTGGGGGGCAAACCCCCCACCCCTCCCCTCACCCCCTTCATTTCAATCACCCACAAACACAAGTCAATGAGCAAATGGTATATATATTTATAATTATATATATCTAAAGTGCATTATGGTACAAAAATATAGAAGGTCAGCAGCACCTCGATACATTTACAAAATAAATACACCATTCAGACAAAATAAATTACTGCAAAAAACTGAACATAATTGGAATTTAAAAAAGGGAAAAGCAAGGATTCACAAACAGTAAAATCTGTCGCCCTGCGGAGCGTCAATAAGGTTTATTTTCTTATTGTATTCTGCTATCTACTCTGCTATATTTAGAATATTTACACACAATAAATATTTTCCAATTTCTTTCCAAACAATCAAAGTTACAGAGTCTGTAATGTGAGGAGTCCACTCCAACCGTCCGAAGGTTTCTGCAACACAGAGACGGAAAAAAACAGGTGAATCAGGGTTTATTCACAGAGCTCTAACTGTCCACCCTATTTTTCAGACATCATCATCTCAGCTCCACAACAATGACACAGCACAGAGTCAGTGCACTGCTGCACTCTGCAGTATCACGCGTCTTCTGAAAACTCTCTAATCATGTGATCTTGTTCTGAAAACCAGGTCAGCTGTTTGGACTCACCTTTGTCAGAGACTGACGGCGTTTTAATGCAGCGCCCTCTGCAGACCGAGCAGAGACCTCCACTAAATATGGAGTCCGCTCCAGGTGGAGTTCATCCTCCAGCCTCCACCCCAAAGAGCGCACCCTCCTCTTCCTCTTTTCCCCTTCCCTCCTCTTCCCTACCTTCGCTTTCTTCTTCTTTTTGCTTTAATCACGCCGTCTTTGTATGTCTGCGACTTGTTGGTCTCCTGTGGCAGGTTAGTGCCCTCCTCCTCCTCCACCTGGAAACTGATGGGGAGGTTCTTGGTGCCTCTGGGGGGTTTGGAGTGCAGGGTGCTGCCGGTGGTGCTGAGGGTGATTTCCAGGCCGACTCCCGGCCCTCCGGCGTCGCTGCTGCTCCCGCCTCCACCAGTGGTCCACATGGGGAGGTCACAGATCTCTGCCGTGTGGACTTTACGCGTTGATCGACACCATCGTCAGGAATTATGCTTTGCATGGTGCGTTAGGGTAAATGATGTTTCCACTCAGCTGATCACTCATACCGCTCAAAGACTCTCTCACACACACGCACACACATTCAAACAGCGCTTTCTACCCTTCCTACCTCCTCCCCATCAATGTAGATGGCGGAGTGCTCAGACTTGA